AAATTACAGATATACACGTTAGAATTTTAAAAAAGGATAATTTACTGACACAAGACTAATATTTTAAAGTAAGATCATCTGTTTGTCACCTAAAAAAGTTCATAAGTTACTCTAAGAGTCCACAAAGAAGGTTGCCAGGCTCTACTCAGTGTTTCAAATATAGGTATAAATAATCATGAATTAGCTAAGTTCTTGGTACAATATTTTGAAAATAAGTTCGATGAATACATTATGAAAGACAATTTTACTACTATGAGAAGTAGCCAGCAGACACATATCTCAACTTTTTTACATTTACTGCAGTCACCTTGATTCAACATATGATAAATAGTACTGATAAATATGTGTTTCAGGAACTGTTGAAGATTGCAACTTAAGAATCATATTTTCTCTTCAACAATACCACTTCAGACAAAATTGATTCTGTAGCTACAGGTTTGAGATTAGAAATATCACTTTACTGTCTTATTTCTATGTTACCGTGAAGTTTTAAACCTGTATAACAGGTATATTTAGTCATTGTTGATTATTTTCAACATGTAAAAGATCTTGGGATATATCAACAGCCAACATGAAAGTATAAAGCTTACTGTAATACATCAAAATGATCATCAACTTGCCTTCTTGGTTGCATTAGTGCATCATAAAATTGGTAAGTCTGAATATGAAGTGTGTGTCATAAAAAAGACATTTACTTATCTTTCAACTTTGCTAGTTTTATCCAATTCCAATTAACTAGATTAATATTAACCACAAACATAAAATAACTGATAGGCTTGGTCCTTTTGGTTTCAGTAAAAAATGTTTACACCTCATTAAGAGTAATGTGATTTATTTAGATGTACTTGTGTACTTTTATCTTTATGAAACGTGGTACTTAATATCCCTGGAGACTATTTTGAGATAAATTGTGTTACACTCTCTTTAAAGCTAATTGGTTATTGCACCTGCAGAGCATGTTAGCATTCACCATTAATTTATTTTAATCAATTAAGTCTCATTTGTATATCATTTTTAATCAAACAGCATGAGTGAACTTGTATCAGCTCCTTTCAGTTTCTTATAAATCCTATCCTTGCATGAATCTTTATTATTGCATGGTTCAATTGTTCTTAGTTTGTGATGCCTCGAACGACCAAGGTGTTCAACGTTCTCATTCTGCCCGACTAGCAGCAGAAGGTATGATATGGACTACATGTTCATAACGTTTTATTTAAGATAGTTTTTTTGTGATAATATCAATGAGGTTATGAGATTAACTTTTAAGTAATTCAAATTACTCAGGATATATATTTTTGTGTTTGTTTTAGTCATTTATTTTGGGTTAATATTGACTGTGATTATTGACCATAAGATGGGCATAAGTTTCAAACTTAACACACTATTTAAAAGTAACCAAATCAGAATATGTTCATGTTTGAATCCCTACAATTGGTACAATATAACAACATTAATTTAGGTTTATGAAATTTGATCTGAAAATTTAATGTTAGTTTAGAAATTCATCTCATCTACAACTAATTTATTCTATTTTTCAAATAATCAAAATCACTGAACAGGTATATCAACAAAATATTAAAAATGAAGCAATAAAAAAGTATATACAGTTTAATGATAATTTCTGTATCTTCTTCTCAGGGTGATAGTAATAAGAAGTTAAACTTTAAAATGATTTATTTACAGGTTATGTCAAATTATATACAATTTCATAAATGATACTGCTAACTTTAGTTGTTATAATCTGATTTATTCAGAAAATCAATGAACATGCACAATATATTATTCTTAATCATCTTCTTAAAATCTTTCAATACCAATACTTCAAGTCTAGAGTTTAGTCGTATTCTGGCATCATTTCTGGTATCACTTTAAATAGAACTAATTCAAGTTAATTGACAATCAATGGTTTTTACCAAGAGGTCATGGAAAAGCCATTGAAGGTCTAACCCCATCACTCCCACATCCCATTTTTATTGACAATAAGCCAGATTTGCTGTGCTTATCTAAATTTAGACAACAATGATTTCTAGAAAATGTGACTCGTAACATAGTAAATATTAACTAAAATCCTTTAATTTCAATTCCTATGGAAAGATATGTAATAACTTCTACCAGAAGTACATCTAAATTTGAACCATTTAAAACATCATTCAAAGAAACATAATTTGTACCAATAAGTGGAAAATTCTTCAATTTTTATTATCTTTGTAATCAGTAAATCACATGAGAAAAAAAAATCAACAGGTTTTATTTATTAAATATTAGTATAGGTCCTAAGGACTCAGTACAAACTTATTGCCTGGGGAGTTTTCCCATGTAAATCAAGGCAGCGTGATAGTAGTTTTATTTCCATGTGAGAGAAAACACACTAGCTGGTTTGTATAGTTAGCTTGATTTATCCAGAAAATTACTGAACTTCCACAGAATATCATATTTACTGTGCACAAAATATGCATGAAAAACAAGAAGAGGATTGTTAAAAGTATATTTTTAATTTTTACTTGCATTTTACTGTATTTGTTATTACTAGGATGTTTTGTACAACTGTTACTGCATTCTTTATAAGATATAATAAAACATTTAGTTATTCTGTTTTGGTGGAATCCTTCTGTTAAGATCAGTAAATTTGGTTCTAAAAAGTCCTGTAATTTTTTAAACATTATTCTGTGCTGGTCATATAATAGAGGTGATATATATATATATATATATAAATAAAACAGATAATTAAAAACTTTTATTATATAAATAATTGGTTAAGTATTCATTAATTTTAGGAGTTAGGAGAAATCAGAATGAATAGAAATTTGTTCCATTTACAAAGTTTTTGAGTAACGAAGGATAAAGCTTAGAGAAGAGTATTGACGTCAGTTTAGTAAAAAAAAACAAACAAAGTTTCAGAAAAAAGAAAATTTATTTTTCTAGCAAGTTTCTAGGAAATGGAAGTGGTTCTAAACTCCTGATGTAATTCGTAAATATTATACAGTAAGGTTACTGATACTTGTAAATTTCAGTGTTTACAGTTTTCAAATACTTTAAAGTTTTATACACTATTTGAGACACCCAAACTTCTTTGATTTTGTTAAAAGTTGTTGAAAAACATTTTGAACTAATCCTTAACGAATGTAAGGTAGTTTTAAGAATTGAATTGTCTTATTAACCAGAAAAAATAAACCAAATTCTGTGAATGTATTTTACTTAACATGAAAAAATACTTTGTTTGATTATAAATTGTTGAAACATTTTAATTTATGTTTCAAAATTTCTCCTCATGCTGCACTTAGAGCAATCTGAGTCAATTTCCCATAAAGTTGAAGGTAAGACATTTTTCTTTTAATGTTATAGTATTGCATGTTCAAGTAGTGTGTTCTCACTAACCTCAATTGTTGCATGATACGTACATGTTGCATGATGTTGCTTGACTTACTTCACAGCTGCTGAACGTGAACGTGAAAAATACTTCCAGCGACGTGCACACTCTGAACGTAAACCTAAACAAAAATCTAGTAAGTTCTTTAAATAATTTTTCCTGGTTTAATTCTTTCAGTAATAATTTATAACTGGAATATGTAGCATGCTGTTTCAAACTTGAAATAAAATTGTGTTGAATAAACAAGTATGTATGTATATATATGTGTGTGTGTGTGTGAATCTATGCTAATGTCATTGATTCATGTGTTGAAACCATAGCTTGATCAAAAATATCAAGATGTCACTAATAATGAAAAGTAGCCATTTTAGAATAGTATAGTTTTCACTGTCATTAATCTACAGGAAATTTGACTACTGTGCTACTCTGAAATGGTTGATAAACGTGTATTTTATTGTTACTGTCATCCTCTTATTTCTATGTTAATATAATCTGAGAGTCTTTTTTTTTAAGAAATTGCTTATTTGTTTTAATAGTTGTTTTTTTTTATATTTATGTGATGTATAACTTTTATTATTAATTCCAAATTAAAATTTAACACAAACTTTTTTAAAGATAATACAAAATCACAAAACCCTAATTTCTGTATTCCTGTAGATTATAACTTCATGACTCTAAAACTATCTTAAAACTTTTCGTAACTGTGGAGAATTTAGAAAATTTTGACAGTTGGTAAATCAAACATAAATTTTAAGTATTTCTTCTTTAGAACATTTAGGCTGGTATTCAACACTGTTTGGAATCACTGAAAGCTTTGTTGTGAACTAAAAACAATTTATTGAACTAATCTGCACATTTTTTAAATATTCTTATCACTTCAAACAATTGTGAAAATCAACATAATAACAGTTTTGTATTATTAGCTACTTCAACAATGAAAGATATAATATTTTGATCTATGTAACTGACCTTAATTATGTATTTTCCTATGTTTAATCAAGGTGATACTGCAGTAAATGGAGAAAAGTTGAGATCAACAGAAAGTGGAGATGTGTCTGCTGCTTCTCGCAGTAGTAAAGAGGTAAACGTTATTTAACTTACAACAAATGATATATTGAAGGATTATAGACCCAAGTAGTCTTTTATTAAAGGCCAGTATTTAAGAAAATCAAAGATTTGGGCTTGCTTTTTGTCAACTTTTATAAATGTGTAATATTGGTGGCTATGAACTTGGTTGTTACCCTCAGTAAAAGATTGATTGCAGAGCTAGTTTCATTCAGTCGTGGCCTTTACCTGTTGTCTCATTAATACTCTTTGAAAGAACCTTAAACTTCGTCCCAGTCACAAGTAGCATGATGTCTTGTGCTAGATTTACTTCCAGCCACCAGACATTTGAATTCATAAACAACATTAGATGGTAATATTCTATCATTAAAACTGAAAAGATTTTATTACCTGCATTCAGTTTTAATGTGGATAACCTATATGATACAGTTACATAGCTGTTATTTTCTCAAACTGCGTGTTTGCCAGTATATGGTAGTATCATTGATACAAGTTATTTTGGTGCATTACAGTTTACTTCCCATAAATAACCATGCATGATGTTGTCTGTGATATTTTTAGGAAAGACATTTTTTCCAGTATTCTTTATATATTAATTTTTTTTTTTGTAAACCTTTGTGTTACTGTAAACACGATGAATCAGGACAATTTTTTTTTTTTGGAAACCTTTATGTTACTGTAAACACGATGAATCAGGACACTTTTGTAAACCTTTATGCGTTACTGTAAACACGATGAATCAGGACACTTTTTTTCTTTTTTTTAATAAAAATATCCACCAAAATGACTATTCTTTTTCTAATTTTTTAAACCAATTAACAACACCAAGAGTTAAAACCCGCAACATTCCTCAGTTATAAATGAATGATCTGGTCATAAACCTACAGCAGTTTAAGGAGTGAACATTAATCAGAGTAATCATAAACCTACAGCAGTTTAAGGAGTAAACATTAATCAGAGTAATCATAAACATACATCAGTTTAGGAAGTAAACATTAATCAGAGTAATTATAAACCTACAGCAATTTAAATAGTGAACATTAATCAGAGTAATCATAAACCTACAAGTTTAGGGAGTAAACATTAAACAGAGTAATTATAAACTTACAGCAGCTTAGGAAGTAAACATTAATCAGAGTAATTTTAAACCTACAGCAGTTTAGGGAGTAAACATTAATCAGAGTAATTTTAAACCTACAGCAGTTTAGGGAGTAAACATTAATCAGAGTAATTTTAAACCTACAGCAGTTTAGGGAGTAAACATTAATCAGAGTAATCATAAACCTACAGCAG